AAATGTAGTTAATTTTAGAGTATGGAATTGTAGCCAGTGTAGTCACTCCTGAAGAAGGACAAGAACCATTACTGTCATTTAGTTTTTTATTAATGAAAATATTATATCAGTGTTTCATGCAGAAACACTGACCTTGTAAGTAGTTTTTGCTCACTAAATTACCACCACCAGGCTAATGCTTTTTCTTCTTGTCTAATTTCTGCTTGTGCCTCAATGCAATTTCTTATGCTGTGTTAGCATAAGCTAATTGTGCCACACATTTGTTTTCCCACACTGGGGTTTTACAGAGAATCATTCAGTAAATAATTCAAAGCCTAACACCAAACATTAATGTAGGAGCGTTATAGCCTGTAAGCTATTTTTAACTTATTTGGCCTGCTAGTTGTTTAAAAATAAATTGTAAGCCCCTTTAAACAAAATCAGCTTTTTACCTTCTTATCTATCAAGAACTTCGGGGTTCATATGAGTAGCATAACAGTCCAGTTATAGCAACATGGGTGCTTAATCCTGGTCCTGGAGGTCTACCACCCTGAAGAGTTTAGACCCAAAACACCTGGCTCTCATATTCAGATGCTCCTGAAGGCCTTCATTAATTGGATCAGGTGTGTTTGATTAGTGGTGGAACTAAGCTGTGCAGCGTGGATCTCCAGGACCAGGATTGGGCACCCCTGCAATAGGCAGTCGTGCCTTTTGTTCAGTTGCCCCTCATCTTTGAAGTGCCCTTCCTGATTGTTTGAGGGTTCCACAAACACTGGCATCTTTTAAGACCAGCTTAAAGACACTTGTATTTAGAAAGGCATTTTATTAAATGGTATAATGTGACAGTGAAGACAGCACAGAAGTGTTTTATTTAGGAAAGCCTTTTAATAAATGTTATAGTGTTTTGCTGCTTTTATTATTTATTGATTTTTCATTTTGGCTATGTACTGTCATTTTTTTGTGAGGGGGACATTGATATGTGTATACTGAGCATTTTGCAACAGCTTCGAATGCAGTTCAACCAGTCAGATTTTAGGCCCAGAACTATCATCAAAAATCAGTTTGATATCAACCAGATCCAAAAATCTTACCAATGCCCAATGTTTTTTAGCAATTATTTGCCGATAGTGATCACAATTTTACGCATTTCTACTACAAATTGCATGCATAAATCATCAGACACTTGATTCGGACTTCAGTTACCAAAAATGTCTTGGCAAAACAGCACTTGGGGTAGGGGACTAGTGTAATAAATTTGAATTGCCACTATTCCTATTATCCCATCTAAGCATTATGGAGATATTAAAGCAGGACTTACATGTTACTTCTCCTCTGTTTTCCAACAGGTTGGTGGGATAAGGAGTTGTATTACTGAGCAAGCTTTGCCATTTCATACAGGAGAATGTGGTTATTTTGTGCTGAGAATTTTACCTGACTTCTGCAAATGAGTGTGCATTGTTTTATTTTACATATGATATGAGTGTGTTTCACTATATTCCTATTTAAAATCACTTAATGATTAGACTTTATTAGAACAGCAGGTCTGCATGGCTTTGCGTTGAAAATATTAATATAATTTGCTTGACAGTAGAAAAGATGAATGTAAGAAAACAGAAATAATGATAGAAATAAGAGAATGTTGATGTTGATGTTGCAAGTTGGTGGGAGGATAAGATCAGATGTTTCATGGAATAAGTGTACATTATAATAATAACAATTTGTTTTTACTAATAAAATGTAAAATGAAAACCATCTTTGAGGCTTGTTTATATAGTTTACCCTCCGAACTCTGAATGTACCTGCAACCGAATTGCGTTTGAGACAAGCTTCAAAGGCAGCAATACATCACACTGTTGCCAAGACCCCTCACTGCTAGCTGTTAGCATTAGCATCTTTTTTAAGAAGGCTAGAATACATCTATGCTGCCTTCAAACAAAAGCGACCCAACTGAAGAACCTCGGGCAGCGTTTTACATCAACAGCTAGCGCTGAGTTGTCTTGGCAAGAGTGTGATGTATCGCTGCCTTTCGAAGTGAGTCTCAAATGCGATTCGGGTGCATGTACGTTCATCACAACACTGCCTTCTGAGGCACTGACTTATGCGACAACAAGGCATTGAGACAACAGCCTTCAGTTTTGGACACAGCTGATGTGTCTTTGCTGTGCATGCGTGGTAGCTGTTAGCTTTTTTCCAGTCTTGTAAGAAGGCATATATGCTGCCTTCAAAAAAGCGACCCAACTGAGGAAACTTGGGCAGAGTTTTACATAAACATTCAGTTTGAACGTGACTGGCTGCCTTACTGCCTCAGAATACTGTATGAGTAAGCAGCGTTTATTACATTTCACAAACAATATAGGCAATATAGGGCAGCAGCCATGAAACAGTAGCGGAAATGGGTTTTCCAGTTCAAATCAAGTAGTGACAGCCATGAATCTTCAACCAACACAGTGCATTATGGGTACCCACCATGGATATCCACTGGAGTACATCAGTTGTACACTACTTACTGCAGTGCACGGAGGGATTGTCTGAGTACTGGATCAGAGAACTTGGAGAGAAGAATTATACTCTGTAATGTCTTCTGGGTTTCTAAAACACTAGAGGGCGCTCCAGAGTGAGTCCAAAATGAATGGGTTAAGATGGAGCATTTGAGCAAAATCATAGTTTATAAATGTTTAAACATTTTGAATGTAAAAAAAAATACATTAATTTCCTGAGCACAGAACAGCAGAAAACATTTTAACACTGCTGTTACACTTTTTGAGAGCTTCTGAACTCGAGTTATAGGAGTTTAAAACAGCGCCTCATTTGTGTTCATGACGTCTGTGAGCGCGAACAGCCAATAAGCTGCTCCGCTTGCCAACCAATCAGCGCTCAGTAGCAGTAGCGCCAGCATCATGCTGCCCAAAGCCTGTTTGCTTTAGGAAATATATAGGTATGTTTTCTTTGCTTTTTTTTAGTGGAATACATCCTTCTTCTTTCTAAAATTAAAGGAAAGTTCTGGGCAAGTGATTAGAAAATATTTTACCTGTTTGTTTTTTAGCTGTTGAGCTCCATTTACTCCCATTCATTGAGGACTCACTCTGGCGTTTTGCAGTAATGTTTTTGATATAGCGAGGGAAATAAGAAGTGGCCAGGCTCCTCATAAACCAGCTCTGACTGGATCTTCCGTTTTCGGACACCACCACAAAATGTCGGAACCTCAAAATAGTGCACTATATAGTGATTAGGGCGCAGTTTTGGACACTACTGTAATGAAATACTTTACTGAACACATTTAGGGCAGTGTATTCAGTATTCAGCCATCACTACTTTTTCAAAGCATGCTGTTGAACCCTGCTTGCAAATGTAATAGACTGCAAAACGTTTGCGAGGAAATGCAAAAATTTTGCGAGTGAACACAAAATATTGCAAGAGAATGCAATGTCGTTACAGATTTAAATTTTTAATCTTTATTCGGAAACTGCGCTTTAGGGCTCAGTAGTTTTCCATCATGCGGGCCATTTAAAAACTATTCACTGCATGACATCTGACAGTTGCCGATGCTGCCACTTCATTACAGAACCCGGACTAGCGTTAGTTCCTGAATTTGACTCGCTTTGAGCCGAAACGTGTAGGTTTCCACTGGAGCTGCTAATAATGGACTCCACCGCAGTGACCCGCCCGCTCCTCTGGCTTTACTCATCAGCGGAGAGTCTGAGGCTGCGCAGAGGCACGTTCCGTCGCGCACGTAGCTCCTCTGACTGCACGCGCTGCCCGCCTCCGCTCGTCACGTGCTTCAGCGCGTGGAGCAGCATCCCCATTCGTGGTCTGAGCGCCGGTCTGTGCTAAGTTCCTGGTTAAACAGGAAATGCTTTGAAGGCGAACTTGACCATGAGCCCCACAGCATCAGGCCTTCTCATATGTGACCATTAACTGAGGGACAGTCTCTGTAGCCTAATGAATTACAGGGGACAGACTGAGCTGCAGTACCTCCTTAATTCATTATGAGATGTTTTAACACTGAATAGTGTTTTCATTTCCGTGATTCAAACGTGTGCATCGGTTCCACGTGGATAAATCGTATTACATCCAAGGTTTTGTCTATTAGTGCTCGATTAATGTGGACCCCCGGTGCATATATATTTGATTCATATATATATATATATATATATATATATATATATATATATATGATTCTGTATGCCATCAGCACTAAAAACAACACCTCATGAATGAAAAATGAATGAAAAAATGCAAGTCATCAGCATCGTTACTGCTGAAATGCCTGAAAATTAATGCAACAAACCTCCTATTCATGGACAAATGACGTCAGAATCAAGTAAACTCAGTGAAACTGTGTAACTTTAACCATCTTTTCACTCTTCTGGACTCTCCTCCTCGTGCCCTTCACAAGCGCCAGTCTCCCATTACTGTTTCCATGGCAGCCATGTCCGACTTCTCGTGTGCGCGCGTGTTCTGAGTTAAAGGGAAACTCCACCCATTCCAAATTTTTAAATAATGAAATTGTTAAGGTGTAAACAGTGGCCTTCAGGGTGGTTTGGTGTGAAGCAGTTAATTGTAGAGAAAGTTACAGACTCAGATTTCTTTACAGTGGTGGTGATAGGAACCAGGGTTCGCCATGCCACTAATATGCACTAATATAGTCATTTTATTTACTATCCAGTGAACCTACACGTGCCTTCTGAGATTTTATACGTAATGTCGATCATGGTAAAATAGTAAAAAAATGTTTTAAAACGCCATGTATGGATTTAAATGCATTTTAAGCCAAACCTTTATCCCAAACACTATCACCACCACTGTAGCCAATTCTGACTCTAGCAAGTTTCTCTAGAACGGGCCATTTCACGTCAAACCACCGCGGGTGACTTTGTTTACGTCTTCACCCTTTGATTATGTAGAGATTTGGAAAAATTGGTTGAGATCTCCTTTAAAGGCGAAAGCCTTGCGAATCCCTACGTTGCGTGACGTCACGTTGCCAGGGAAACCAGATCCGTGCACGTGTGCGGTATAAAAGGAGGAGGCTCTCGGCGGAGAGGGCGCAGTGGCTGCAGCATCACTGGAGAGGAGGTAAGCGCTAACTTCTCACTCGCAACGCATCAATTTTTACACTAAATTATAACCGAATTCCACTTTTTAATTGGTTTTATATCATTCCAAATGAGCCACGTCTATAAAAGAGCATTTAGGCGTCTGCAGTGAAGGAGTTTTGGGTAAGGAAGGGAGGGAGGATGTGCCCTTCCGCTGCGCCTCTCTTCAGGCCTCGCCGCAAAGTACGCAGCTTTAGCAAGCTAGCCAGCTCAGTTACGTAACCTTTCTCTGGACAGAAAGGTGGACTGAAGCGCACTGAGCTGTCTTTAAGACCCACACAGGATCACCATATACTGAAAAGGGGCGCAGAGGATGCTTAACTACGTCAAAGCACTGAAATAACCCGAACATCGTTTTAGCCGTGGTCCGTGGTGGTGCAGCTCAAACTGTGCAATATAAACGTCTCCATCTCGTGAGGCGTGAACTTCTCATTCATTCGTGCAGAAAGGATGAAATTCGGTTTTTTTTGCAATACAAAAATGTCTTTATAACGTAACTCGAGCGAATTCTAGCACATATAGTTATGTTTAGGTAAATAAAAGGATTTGGTTTAAACTGTATTTAAGCTAACGTGCCTCACCATGACTACGAGGCAGAAGTACGTTAGGCGTCATATTGGAACTTCCCGTTCCACCTTAAATGGTGCAGCGGCCACGTTCTGGTGCTGGAGACGCCAGACTGTAACTGCTGCACCATTTAAGGTGGAACGGGAAGGTCCAATGAGAAGCTAACTTCAGCTTCAGACCACGAAGCCTTACTGCGTCACGTCGTTCGAGAATGTGCCATCCGGGTACTTTAGACGTTTATCTTTTCCGTTTGTTTATTTGTTAAGCTGGCTTATTTAGCAAAATGAACACTGTAATACAGCATATTTTACGCATTTTTGTACATTTTTTGCTGCTGTTCCTTCTGGACGCTGCATCACTCGAGGCTTAGCAGACCGAATGACTGCGGATAGTTTGTGAGTAACGTTAGTGGCGAGCTGCAGCCTCCCGTCTGTGTCGAAAACACGCAACAAGTAAGGCGACATGCGGCCGCCTTCCAGCCGCCGTTCTCCCGACTGAACGAGCGGGGATGCGGCGGGTTCTCGTCGGGTAGGTGTAGGCCGCTGTCGTTCGTGGTGAAGGTCGTATCCGCCATCAAGGTCAAGCGAGTGTTGTTTTACATCTTTGTCCCCCCTGAAAAACATCACTGACAGAACTGCACAGCCTATATGTTTGACCATATGTGGTTCTGAGTCTATAGTTTAGTGTTATGTCTAATTGTAGATTAAGGCACGTTCATCCTTTTATGGCCTTCTCCGTCTACGTGCCGAGTGTCAGGTATCCTTGTGGTTGGTGATGCTGATGCAACCAGAGCCAGTTTGAGTCAGATCCGTTCAAGGGGGAATTGAAGTGCCCCCCTTGGAGGCGGGGTTATTCCCTCCCTTACACATACCTGGCTCTTTAATAATCTCTTTTTTTTATAATTCACTTTTTTTTTCATCCTTTTTCGTTGCCACTGAGAAGCAGGTGCTAGAACAGTCCATATTTGATTGCATGTGTCCAACATTATTTTTTATTCCTAAACTATGCATGCCTGTTGATCACATTTCATTATTACATCTATTTTGTTAGATCATACATGTAATGTGACAGTGTATGAATTCTGTATGGAGTCTGCCATCACTAGCAGGTATGAACCAACCTGGGAGAGGATGTGATGTGCAGGATGACACAGCAGGCTGTGCGTCCACTGCAGGCCTTCCCCATCATCCCCCTCCCCCTATTGACCCCACTGCAGACTAAATGATGTTCTGTTGTCCCTGTCGACCTTGAGTCTGCTGCTCCTTTTCTTAACTCTAGACTTATTCATCTTCAGACCATCATACGTACATTTTATACAGTACAGTAAAGTAGCTGAAATAATAAAAGGTGTGTTTAAAAGTAGGCAAGGTGTTGTATGTTATTTGTGCCATCTAAGACTCTCTCAAGAGAACGTGCTCTCCTGAGGTGCTCTGAACAGTGGGTCTCCAGTCACCTCCACATGTTCAGAAGTGGCTAATGGAAAATTACTGAGGAAGGAGAAAGGGACAGCGAGAGACAGAGGAGGTGAAAGAAGGCGGGGTTTAAGGAGGGGAAAAGTTAGTAAGGATGTGAGTGGGAGGTGACACATTTTACTAGTTTTTCCCCCTCTCTTGCTGCATATGTAATTCAGTACAAATTACTTGTAAGAGTTACACTATGCATAACTTGAAACTGTGTGAATGAGTCACTATGACTGCAGGCAAGTATGAGTTGCACAGCGCTAAAGGAATGTATGTGAGTAATTCCTTATCTGTAGAAAGTACTGCTGCTTTTGTGTGGCAGCCACACCACTGCGTGTAAATGGCCACGGGATGACACAGCACTTCCTCAAAATGGCTTCCAGTCACCTCCCCAGACTTGAATGGATTCCCCCCAGCCAGCCACAGCGTAAACCTGCCTCCAGTTATCAGTCACCTCATCACAAACCACTGAACCGTAATGTGTCCCGAATTGGCAGCAGAAAAGATTTGTAGCTCAAAATATCATTTGCTATTTTAATTAAGCCATTCCTTGGTCCTATTTTTATAAATATGCTATTGTAAAGGACATTTTCTGCTCAAATGAACATGCAGTTGTCCCTGGGGGAGGTTGACCCAGTTAGTCCTTGCTCCATTCTGTCGTGGATGGGTGTTTTTAGAGGGGGGAAAGGCCCCTAACTGGGTTGATGCAGCTGCAAGCTTGTCTCCGTCCTTCCGGCTGTGAAAGAGGGGGTGTGGCACCATGTTGCCTCAGCCAAGAGCAACTCCCTCTAGCCCTGTGTGATTGGGTCATCATGGCAAGAGACCAACAGGGGTAAACAAGGATTTTTTAAGTGTATATAATTAAAAAACAATTAAAAACAGCTTAATTTAAATTTATACATAGCAGCAAATTAACTTGAGAAGGTTATTTTGACTTTGCATAGTTAATAGTGTTATATTGCACTATGCTGTTATTACTGCTGTCTTCGAGTGGTATTAGTGTAGAACAGTAGAGCGATTGAATTTGGGCCAGTGCAGAGGTGGGCCTTGGAAACACAGCGGTCATTCAATACTCCTCCATTGTAATTAGAGTCACCATCCTGCTGCCAGCAGACTGTGTTATTTGAGCCACTCACAAGGTTTTGACTTGGAGCCATAGGGCCATTTTGATTGGTGCCATCATACAGGACCAGTATTGACTGTCTTTTTAGCAAACAGTTCCATTGGTCTGCCCAAAGTTTTCCAACAACAGCAGGGCTTTCAGGGCCTGTCGTCTGTACACTAATCCCAGAGCTCAGCACAGTACTGTTTAATGGCGCTCGCAAAGTTCACTCTGAGCGTTGGTTAGTAAATTCTTTGGAAGGAAAAGTAGGCTAAATGTGCAAAGCTGGGAAGGAAAGAGAAGAGAAACTGAAGATGCAGCATTGAGCATTCTTCTTGTCCCACCATTCGCGGTGACCTTGGCTGGCGTCATGTGATCTTCCCCTGCAATTTCAGAACACTCCCTCACTGCAGAGGCTGGAAGAGCAGCAGTGATACATTTTTGCAGATGTTTATTTAAAGCTCACGTAATTGTAGAGAAGCCCTGAATCATTTTTAATAAACATTATAGAAGAATACATAATGAATCTGGGAGATGATGCAGCCCAGCAGGAATCTCACAGCTGTGTGCGAGCTCGAATATGCTGGTCAGGCTCTCTAGGCCAGTCAGACAGTCCAGGCACAATGCATTCTGGGACCCTGTGTAAATCAACACAGGTTAGGGGGCTAGAGAGATTAGGATTATCTAGCTGGGTTAGGTGCACTAGGCTCTTTGCATGCACAAACACACACACACACACACAGAGCTCCAGATTAGGGATTAGTAGAATATCCTCTGTTACAGGGAGCCAGATGCAAGGGCTGTCTTGAATTATACTATCCTATGAAAGGGAGATCTTCTGCTGTTATTTCTGGATTTGGTTAATTAGCTTGCTTTGAAGAGGACAGCATTACAGACCCAGTTGTACAGTGAGTCTTCATCTTTATTAGTTATGGATTAGCACTAGTCTAATGTAGATTTACGTTAGCTAGGTATGGCATTTGAATTCAAAGGTCACGCAAGGTATTTAACCCTGTTGTGACTTTATGTTCAGGTCAGCTCCAACTGACATTTTGTCTCTCTCACAAAGAACCAGACTGTGAACTGGCTGCTCAATGGGCAATCCAATAGGAAACCTGTTTGGATCCATTTCGAGTTGATTATTTAAAGGCTTTGATTGGTCAATCCATTCAAAGCCTGAAGGTGATTTCCCCCTCATTACTTTTGAGGCTTGGAGCTCTTTCCACTGCGGAATTGATCTTTTCAGCACTCTACCAGTGGAAAGACTGACAGACAGTTATTGGACAGCTCTCTCCTCAGACAGCCCTTCATTGAATCCATCTTTGGGTCATTAACTCGTGCTTGGCGGTGTCCCTGATGCATTCGAGGCATAACGGAGTTAGCCACATGTGTGGAGAGACAGTAACTCTTGATGCCAGGAGAGACAGTAACTCTTGATTGTAAGAATGAAAAACTACCTTTATCAAGTGATTAGCCTTGTGTTAATGACAGGTTCTGACTTATTCTTACTGTACAGTTCCCTGCACTGAAGAGCTTACTTGGAAAAATATAGATTCATTTCAATAAACTGTAACTGCAGTAGAATTTGTGTAGAGTTTTCTGAAATAATTTTGGATTTGTATTGACTTCCTGACCCTTCTGAGTATTTGGCTGGTTGCACAACTTGGGAGTGCTAATATTTCTTCATAACAAACTTGTGTTACCCTGACAGATGTTACCATAGTGCCGCATTAGCCCACTACATTCATCTCTGAATTTCCAAAGAACTGTAATAATGTTGTAATACATACCCTGAATTATGTGCTCTCTTCCGCAAAGGCTGCAGTGCTGCAGTAAACTAAGTAACTGAGATGTCATCACTTGAAAGAACGTTAGCCAGTTTTAACAACTTCATTTTCATAATGTCACACAGTGCATTACTTTTATTTGAATTGCTCTCAGATTAATGGATCAGTACTGCTACATTTGGTCTTATTAAGCACACTAGGGGCACCATAGTGTTATACTTCCTGTCTTCTGGATGAAACTCCTCCTACTTGATCTGCTCTTCCCTCAAGCCCAACCACCCTATGATTCTCCCCGCATGAGCAAACCATATATGGCAAGATGGGAAGATTCTTTGACTCCGACCCAACTGTACTCCATTTTTATTCAGTAGATTGGGGTTGCATAACCAATTCTGTCTCCATTTGACCTCTTGTGGAATTTTTTTCCACCTCTTTGGGGGCGGGGGATACTCCTATAAATTGAAGAGGTTCTTTTGTGTGGATACCTTGCATGTAAGGACTTGTTTTCATGGCAGCGTTTTTTAAGGGTGCTTGGCAATGTGTGTCTCTCCTGCTTGTTCTGTAAGCTTTCATTACATTTCTTTGCCACATTACAGCACTCGAATGCAGATCTAAGACGCTTATTACATTTAACAGACCTCTGAAACTTTTCAAAAGAAGTCAGAAGCAAGTGAGTCTCAGTGTTGAGCAAAGTGGGAAAGGGAAGTTAGAGGGACAGTTGAGCTGTAGCTCAGCTTTGGTTCACTTTGCCCTTTGCAGTTTCTTTTTTGTAACTGGCTGCTCTTTTACTGAAGCCAACACAATAGGTCTGACCCTGAGCCAAGTTAGTAAAAGTATGTGGGTCCGGTGAGCCGCAGTTTGGAGCTCCCTGAACAGCATTCTAATGTAGGCCAGAACAATGAGATCTGTTTCCTGCCACAAGATCCATAATCACACCCACTCTGCAGGGCACTAGACAGGCTGAGAGCTTGTTTATCATTTGAATGTGCCTGTAAACATCAGCATGCAATGGGTTTAAGCAGATTACCTTCTAGAATCATACAGTTGTACAAATCAAGTAGAATATATGTGGTTACTTGGAAAATTAAAATGTGATATGACAGGCTGTCACGTTACATGTCTTTATCATTTCTTGCTTTTTAAGAATAAAAATTAAGCACCCAGTTATCTGTTGCCAAAACCCTCCAAAACCCTGTTATATTCTGAACTGAGCTTGTTACATGTTGTCTGTTTGACCAATGTTTTGCTTTTTTCTTTTTTTTGCAGGTTCTAAACCACAACCCACTTAACTGTAATAATGTCGGACCTTTGCGTTGGAATCAATGGGTGAGTAGCTGTATAGTGTATAAACGTGCACCGTTTTGAGAGCTTGCTTTCTTGTAATGTTCATTCAGTTTTAATAAAAGAGAATCAGTTACTCAGCATTATTATTCTATTATTTTTCTCTTTCAGTTTTGGCCGCATTGGCCGTCTGGTCCTCAGGGCCTGCCTCCAGAAGGGTATCAAAGTCACAGCCATCAATGACCCTTTCATTGATCTGCAGTATATGGTAAGTATATGGTATGATAAATTCTGGCTCATTCTCAGATCTGTCACCACCACGAATCCTAGCAAAACCTAGGACACTGCAAAATTTGTTGTTCATATTTAGCATATCACAAATTCATTCTTAATATCCTCATTTGTCTGATAGGTCTACATGTTCAAGTATGACTCCACCCACGGACGTTACCGCGGAGAGGTGCGCCAGGAGGACGGCAAGCTGATCGTCGATAACCATGCTATCTCTGTTTTCCAGTGGTGAGTTTTACAACTTACACCAAGAGACATGACAGACCTCCAGTGTACTTTGCTAGCAGTGCTGGAGAGACGGCACTTCTACACTTTATTTTTCCTCTTGCACGTCTGTGTTAGCTCATTAAAGGTTTGGTAACTCAATCAGGTCTGTTGCAGTAGAGAAAACAATAAACTGAGCAGTACTGTGTGGTTCTCTAGGACTAGAATGGCGTCTGTGTGTTGGGGGAGCTTTCCTTTGTGGCTTCCTCTGGCTCAAAGGTGCTAATCCCCATCTGTTATTGCAGGCCTTTGAGATCTGGCGCCAGTGAAGAACAGGCGTAGTCACCTAGCACTAACACGGGCAGAAGGTTAGACAAAGTGAGAGATAAAGGCATCTGCAGTCATGAGTCAAAATGGACCTCTTCATTCAAGAAATGCCTCTAACTACAGTGTTCATATTAGCAGAGGGTCAGCTTGAATAATACAAATCAATCATGCAAACTAATCTTACTAGCTTTAATGCATTGTTAGCATTTTTGAGTAAAGAATTTTACAACTAGGTTCTTTGTCCAGAGCACCTTGGACTGCATGGCTGGTTTTAGGGCACAAAGTGGTCATCAGCTTGCATAGTTTTTCAGACGAGTTAGCTAAGACTAGTCTTGAAAGACTACATTGAACTGAACATTTTTATTTTGTCTCCTGTTTTCAGTATGAAGCCTGCTGAGATCCCATGGGGTGATGCTGGTGCTACATATGTTGTTGAGTCCACTGGAGTCTTCCTCAGCATTGAGAAGGCATCTGTAAGTTGTTCTTATATACTGGCGTTAGAGCAACAAATAAACTTGACTAGTTGGATTAGTATAAAATGACTAGTTGGATTTCGAATGTAATTTGCATTTTTTTTGTTTGTTCTCTAAAGGCTCACCTGCAGGGTGGCGCTAAGCGCGTAGTCGTTTCTGCCCCATCCCCTGACGCCCCCATGTTTGTGATGGGAGTCAATGAGGACAAGTATGACCCCTCCAGCATGACCATCGTCAGGTAAATTTAGTGTTCTAAACAAGTACCATTTGCAAAACCTAAACAGAAACTGTTGGGCTGCATGTTTTATAATTACTGACTGCACATTTACAAAAACAGCATGTGTGCATGTTCTTTTTGAATTTATAATCAACTAATAACTAACTTTGATATTTTTCATGTACCTGACAGCAATGCATCCTGCACAACTAACTGCTTAGCTCCCTTGGCCAAGGTCATCCATGACAACTTTGGTATTGAGGAGGCCCTCATGGTAAGTGGAGGCATGGTGTGACTGACTGTGTGTGAGAAGCCCTTTCCTCATTTGTTTTGCTTCAGGTATAAGATAATCAGCATTTTAAAAATTCTTCTAATTGTAAGCTTTTGCTTTCTTTTTCCCCTCACTCTCTGACAGACCACAGTGCATGCCTACACCGCTACCCAGAAGACAGTGGATGGCCCCTCAGCTAAGGCCTGGCGCGATGGTCGTGGTGCCCACCAGAACATCATCCCTGCATCCACTGGTGCCGCTAAGGCTGTCGGCAAAGTCATCCCTGAGCTCAACGGGTGAGCAAAAGAAGTGAAAAAGCATATAACATATACATGCTTCATTGTTGCTGAACAAAAATGAGCTCAAGCTTTCCATTCCTGTGTTGTTACAGCAAGCTGACAGGCATGGCTTTCCGTGTGCCTGTGGCCGATGTGTCCGTGGTGGATCTTACCTGCCGTCTCTCAAAACCGGCCAGCTATGCTGACATCAAGGAAGCCGTCAAGAAGGCTTCACACGGACCTCTGAAGGGAGTTCTGGGATACACAGAGGACTCAGTAAGTGCAGAATAAAGAAGATAACAGTCCAAGAGCCAGACAAAAAACTAAGCATTACAAGCATAAACGTAGTCTAGGAACTAGAGGAAAACATCCAGTGAATTGGCATGTACCAAAAACTATGAATACCATAATAAGAAGAAAAAATAACCATTGATTTATTTGTTCGTTTAGGTTGTGTCCTCTGACTTCATTGGTGACACCCACTCCTCTATCTTCGATGCTGGTGCTGGTATTTCCCTAAATGACAACTTTGTCAAACTCATCTCCTGGTAAGACAGTTCCTGAGCCATTTCTGAAGTTACTGTGCTGAAAATATCTGATTAAAATCAAGTGTTCTGTGTGTGCTCTGTACGCTAACATTGTGTGTCTAATGTTTTTTTTCTTCCACTTTGCTCCTTCACAGGTATGACAATGAGTTTGGCTACAGCCACCGTGTCGCTGACCTCTTACTGTACATGCACACCAAGGAGTAAATGTGTTTCCTAACACATTGAGAAGCCCAGTCGGGACCACCATTTCTTCTTTTACACGCACTTAATGTCATAGCTCAAGCCATAGTGACATGCCCTAGCATCCTCCCACCCCACTCTCTACAAGACGAGTTAGTCTCTGTAGTAGTCTGTGTGCGAGTGTTAGTTTTCCTTTATGAAAAAAAAAAGTCCCACTTGGAAGCGGTTTTGACTTTGACAGTATTTGTGTCTGTGTCGCCCCACAAGCATTGCTGTAGATGTTACCATACTGGATGTAACCATGTTATATTGGTGTTATGAATTGATGGTTAAAAGTTAAGTAAGGAAAAGGCTATTGTAACAAGATTTAAGAGATAATAACTATAAAATAAAGAGTTTGAAAAATAGCTTTATGTCTTTGTCTTTTTTTTCTTCTCTCATGCCATGCAGGTTTACAGGGAGGACCGTTCAGATTATGATTAGAAAAAATGAATTTGATTGAATTCTTTTGATTTACTAATGAGTAAAAACACAATTGCCATTGAAGAATATAATAAACTGATCAAGTCTAAGTCATCAGGTATTCAATGAAATTAGCCTTTCAGAATAATCCATGTAGTTAATGGCA